TGTGTGTGTGTGTGTGTGTGTGTGTGTGTCCTCAGTGGCACGTCCAGGCCACCTGTGCCACTCAGGGGACGGGTCTGTACGAGGGTCTCGACTGGCTGTCCAACGAGCTGTCCAAACGTTAGACCAGCTGACAGGCAACAGGAAGCAGCAGCAGACTGATGTCATCGACTGAAGTAATCACCTGGTGGGCGTGTACAAACTGATGAAGAGGAGGAAGAGGAGGATTTCACTGTTTTTGTTTTTTTTAAATTATAAATGTTTCTGTCTGTAGGAGGAAGTGATGTCATGGACTCTGAGCTCATCATCCTCTTCTTCTGTTCTTCCTGTTTTTGTTTGTTTCTTCTTTTAATCCGCATGTTTTAGAATCATGTGACAGGAAGTGATGGAAGAGGAGGGGCGGGGCTTAAGACAGGTGACAGTGTACCTGTGGGCAGGGGGCGGGGTTAACTACAGGTGACAGGGGGCAGGGTTATCTACAGCTGACAGTATACCTGCCACCAGGGGGAGGGGTTCACTGCAGCTGATAGCGTACCTGTGGGCAGGGGGCGGGGTCACCAGCAGGTGACAGGGGGCGGGGTCACCAGCAGGTGACAGTTACCTGGTGGTGTGATGACTCATTCCACAGAGCCGTACCTGAAGGCCTCGTCATTCCTTAACAATGTGAAGAAGAAGCAGTGACTGAAGACTATGATGCAATAAAGGGTTTTTTTTTTCTTCTCAGCTGGTCGACAGAAGGTTTTTGTTGCTTTGATAAAAACTCAGAAAAATTTATCAACATGTTTTTATTTAAGGTGTCCAGTCGGGTTCAGCCTGAATGAGTAACATGGCGCCACTCTGTGGGGCGGAGTCATCCTTTGACCTCAGGGCCGACACCTGATGTCAGAGAACTCATCGTTCATCGTAATGATTCAAAGGTTTTGATTTTGAACAAACTGCAATAATTCAGTTTGTTCTCGTCCTGTCACAGAAGGCAGGGACTGTTCATAACTTATGGGGGGCAAAAAGGGAGGCGTGTCAAATAATTTTTTAAGCACTGGGGAGGGATCTATGATTTTATTTTGGCCGAGGGGCGGGTCTTACAAAGGTAAATTGTTCAATTTTGTTTGTATTTTTACAACATGTCTCAAAACGTTGGCGTATTTTAATGAGCAGGTTTGGAAGGCAAAGTTATCACAGCCAGAAACTATAACAACAGAAATTATTGTTGGATCTTTACATTTCTGATGGTCCTTGAACACATCGTGTTTCCCTCAGAAAAAAACATAAAACTGATCTTAAAACAGTCACAAAATCATTTCTACGTCTAATTTAAAATTTAGCTGAAAATAAACTGTTTGCACGACGAGAAAATAAAAGACTTTTTTCAACTTTTAACTTTCAAACATCAAATTTTAAAAAATGTATTAAGTCTGATAATCACAGATCAGTCTCTGACGTCACTAAACCTTCGTTAGGTCAGTAAATCAACTCAAATTAATTTCAACATTTACTATAAAATATAAGCATTGAAGATTTCACCATGATTGAGTCAAAATAATTATATTTTTATGAATATGATCTTTAATCTCGTTAACGACTTCAAAACATGAAACTTAATTTAAATGTTAAGTTTTAACAGGAAACAAAAAGTTTCTTTGAAAACAAAATGGAGAGTTTTTATCTTGTCGGAGGAAATTTGTCAGATTTTTTCGACAGTTAAAAAATTTGTTTTTATAAGAAACCGGTTTAATTTATTTGATTTAAACATCACAAACAAAACATCGTTAAACAACAACAACGAGTTCAGTTCTGACAAAATTTAACGTGAACACTTTTTATCTCACGATGACATTTTAACAGTTAATACGTCACCTAATGATCTGAAAAGTCCAGGAACTTCAGTCACATTTTCCAGGCCTGGAATAAGAAAAGTTTATTGTTCACGCAGAGTCCTGAAAACGTTGTGGTTGCCATGGTAACGCCGTCAGCATCCTGAGGCTGGAGGTGACAAACTCTGATGATTCATTCAAATATTTATTATTTTTAGAACTCTGACAAAACTAATGAACAGGAAACTGTTTAAATGAAGAACCAGGCCTTCAGATTAAAAGCACAGAATTTCACTTATTTTGAAACTGAGTGAATCGGAAGTAATGAAAGTCATGAGTTCTCAGACAAGTCAGTTTATTCAGTTAAATACAAACATTCATACAAAACTAAATCAAACACACGCAGAGATGCTTCAGATGGACCTTCATCATCATCGTCGCTGCTCCTCAGACCACCTGACCGCCACCTCACTTCCTGTGTGGCGGTCTCTACACGTTGATTGGGTCCTGCTGGTTGTTCTGACGTTTGACCACGAAGACCTTCTGACCAGAGACCGTCACCGTGTAGACGAAGTCCTCCAGGATCACTGAGGAGACACAGGACATGCGTCATCTCCAGGTGAGGGGGCGGGCCTCACCTGTACACTGGACACCTGGCCGTGTGGGTGGAGTTACCTGACATGCGTTTAAAGGGCGGCTCAGCTGATCCGGATAACCTGAACCGACTGGCTGTTCGGACCATCTGCATCATCACACCTGCCGTGTGCTCGTCGTTCTCCAGCTCACCTGCAGACTGATGACACGGGGTCAAAGGTCACGACGTCATGTTTCATCATTTACAGTGAGCAACACAAAACTCCAGTCACAATACAGTCGGTTTAACCTTTAAATGACGACACCAAATTCCATTCAAACTTGCAGTATTTTAAAGTTGTCTCATCCACTGACTCCTGATAGAATCTGACAGGTTCATATTATTGATCACCAGGCACCAAACATGAGTTCGTCACGTAACTGACTCCGTAAACATGTCCGAACTCTGCTGCAGCTCCTCGTGACTCACATCATGCCTCTAACTTCAGTGTCCTGTGTGTGCACTTTGACCAGCGGAGAGCAGAACATTAAACACACAGAAATCTGAACGGAGTTGGTTCGGTGTTTGTTTCAGGGACTCACAGCCAGGACTCCGTCCTCACTGATGACCAGGTACCCGAGCTGATCCGGAATCCGGTCCAGACCCGCAGTCAGAGCCGCTGTCGTCTGTAAACACACCGAGGACCAGACTGAGCTAACAGGCTAACTGCTAACAGGCTAACCAGGGTCAGTAACCATTAAGACATTGTAAAGTCCGAGTCACAAAAACGTCACATGACTCTTCAAATAACTTATTTTATTTATTTATTAGATTTTATTAAAAACAGAAACTTCAAAAAACTCACCATCCTCCTCCTCTTTCTTCTTCTGTTTTTACAAACTGGAGCTCAGCTTTACTTCCGGCTTGTGATTTTTCACGTGACTCATGAGGCCTTCAGTGCTGTTGGACATTACATAACATCAACATGAGCAGGAAAAAAAGATGAAGTTAATTTGTTTATTATTTATCACCATTATTTCAGTCAAACTGGAGGATTACATTTCTTCTCTAACAAACTTCTGTAAATAAACATGTTCCTATGTTCCTGCATGTTCTGCTGCTCTGCAGGAACACATTTATATTTATGAAGAATTATTTCTGGTCTGGAGCTGATTTCATGATTTAATCCTATAATGGATGCTGCTGGTGACAAATCAGATTATCAACAGTTCTGACCCCAAAACAGTTCTTCAACATCAGACTTTGTGAAAATACATCAGGCACCACTTCATAGTTCTGACTGAGGTATGACGACACACTGACTTGTTCAGCCTCGACGAATAATTTAACTGATTCTTATTTTGGAGGATAAATAACTTCATAAGAGACTCTCTGACTGAAGACAAATAAAAACAACATCTGACACAAATTTAATAGAATTTAATCAGTAACGTGAGAACTGTGAATCTGGCCAAAGAAACATTTTAAAATGAAATATTTTTATTATTTGTGACAAAATCATTTTATAAAACTGACAATGAAGATATTTTCATCATATTCACAGGCTGAGGTTTGACATAAACAAACAAATAAAACGGAACAAACAGTTTCTGTCTCTAGAATGAGGTCTGATGTATCTGAAAAAAACAGAAATGATGTCGTGTCGTTTTATTTTTCATACTTTGGAACAGAGTCCTGAAAACATCCTCCAACTTTATTTAATTTTTATCAGATCATATTTTTTACTCAGGAGCTGCTGAGATTTACAGTGAGCACCTGAAGGCAGCATGCCGCGGTCTAAACATGACGTCAGTGTTTTCATTGATCCGGATGTTAGTGGATTATTTTTTAATTTGATTTGCTTAATATAAAATACTTTGAAGACGTCGCTGAGTTTAGTTTGAGATTATTGGTCGATTATTAATTTGTTTATTTATTTGACGTGTTTCCGCCCCCGCAGCAGCAACAGCAGAGCGGAAGTTCCGGTCAGCTGACCTCCTCACATGACCCGCAGCCTCTGTCAGTGAAGATCTGTATTTTTTTCTCCGGTAAATCTTCGTGTTCGTGATGGCTGCCCGCGGGAAACTTATCGCCGTGATCGGTGACGAGGACACGTGCACCGGCTTCCTGCTCGGTGGGATCGGTGAGCTCAACAAGAACCGGAAACCGAACTTCCTGGTGGTGGAGAAGGACACGAGCATCACGGAGATCGAGGAGACCTTCAAGTAAGAGCCGCCATCAGAGTCACTGTGAACCAAACCCTGTTCAGAAAACTGTCCATTTAAGGTTTACTGAGATGTGAGGTCAATGACGTCACTGACAGTAAACATTTATATTTAGGAGGAACCAAACGTCACATCGGTGTGTTAATATTGCACCAGTCAGCTGATACCAACCAGTCTACGTCATTGTCTGAACGCTGAGCTTCAGTCCTACGGCGTTAACACGAGTCTTAAATTGGTAGTTATTTAAATGGACTTTGGTCCTGTATCTGTCTACAGGCTTATCTCGTCTGGACTCAGGCTGTGAACTAAACCCAGACCAAACTCCATTCATTAAACAACGAATTTAACAGAACTCCTTAGTGTCTTGCAGGATTTAAGTGAAATTATTTAGAGGTGTCAGAGGCCAGACGTTAAATCGGCACATAAAGAATTCAGCCAGCAGCTGGTTATATTAAATGAAACCTTTAATTAGTGTTGATGTAAATGTTAGATTCACTGCTGTGTAGGATCCACTGTGACCTTAATTTAACAGAAACCTGAATGGAGTTTGGTCTGCTGTTTTGTTTTTTTTTTATAAATATAAATGCCAGAACTGAATGACTGAGGTCTGGTGCGTCCATCTCAATGTCACTTCCTACAGGAGCTTCCTGTCTCGTAACGACATCGGCATCATCTTGATCAACCAGTTCATCGCTGAGATGATCCGTCATGCTATCGACGCCCACATGCAGTCCATCCCGGCCGTGCTGGAGATCCCATCCAAAGAGCATCCGTACGACGCGTCCAAGGACTCCATCCTGCGCCGCGCCAAGGGCATGTTCTCCGCTGAGGACTTCCGATAAACAGAAACGCAGCGTTTGATGAATGTGAATGTCCCTGAGTGTCCCTGAACGCACCGTCTGTCTGAACAGTGACTCAGTGATAGTGATGTTTGTGTCTGTCTGTGTTTCAAGTTTTTCCAGGAAGTGAAAATGTTTCAGTTTCATGTGACTGTTTGAAGTTTGTCCTTCGTCTGAGCTGAAAATACCTCGGCCTGAGGAGGAGGAGGAGAAGGAGGAGGAGATGAAGATAATAACATGTTTTATTCCCGTTTGTTCCAGATGTTTAACTTATGAAATAAATGATGTGTTTTATTCGCCAGGAGCTTCAAATCTTGATTTAACTTTTATTGTTCCTGCAGTCAGTTGACGATCAGTTGATCAGGGCCGTGACAACCTGTAGCGCTGCGTTCTCTATCACATTGTCTTCATGCCTCCGTGCTGGTGACAGACATGACTGAAGACATCATGTTTTCAGGTTGTCCGTCCGTCCAGGGGTGTAAATACAGACAGGTCAGGCAGGGTGGTTCCACGGGGCCCTGTGAGGCGCTTTGGTTTCTTTTGTTGTAAAATAGTCAAAAATATCAAACAAATTCTACATTTATTCTATAAATCAAATATTAAACTAGTTAATTAAATAATTTCTTATTTTCTTTGGTGTTTTTGTGACATCAGATGTGCAGAGATGATTTGTGGGTAGTCTGTGGCGTCCACTGATGAACGACTCGCAGCAGGTCGATGGTTAATAACAGGTTTGTTCAACACTTAATCACTGCAGAAGTGACGCTGCAGATTAATAAACATCGTGGAATAAAAACACCAGAATGAACCGAAAGGCTGGTTTTTTTTTTTATCTTTAAACAAAGAAAACAAAATAATATGATACAAAAACAAAACGGAGTTACACAGTTACAAAGATGTCTTTGAACACATCATAAGATTTATAATAAATAAATAGAAACAAAGAGAAGACAGAACGAGCACGGATAGAAATATGAGTTAAAATGAGTTTAATAAAGTTTCTGTTCAGTTAATATAATAGTACAAGAATCTGAATAATTAAAATTAATGTTCAGAGTAAAATAAATAAATATTAGATTTAATATAATTTTCAGCGGTTTGTTTCTGAGGAAATAAAAACTAAATCTGAGAACATGAGCCCTCTGTCCCTGACTCAAAGGTCAAAGGTCAGCTTGACTGTGACATCATCATGTTTTAACGTCATATCTCAGGAACAGAAGGGGAGACATTTGGTCAGATACTGAATTGGTGACTCTAATCTTTTTTTTTTTCCTACTTGTCTGCATTGGTCTTAGTAGCTTAGCGCCACTAAAGGGTGTAAGCTTCTTATGAAGATTGATGCACTGTTAATCTTGCAGTCAAGTATTTTATACCCAGACTGTGCGTGGTTGTGACCGTCACCCACCCTCCCTGGAGACTAGCCTATCAGCCTTTATTGGAAAAACTTCCTAATATGAGTCAGAGAGGGCCGTGATACACCAAAGTGTGTCAAGGGGAAAGTAAGGAAACAAGCAAGGGGGAGGGGGCAGGTGCTTAAGTCCTGAGTTATATAGTGATAGTGCATGCGGAGAAGAAGGAGGAAAAACAAACAAACAAAAAAACAGGGGAGAAACAGGCAGTGTAGCTGATGTATTGTGGCCTTGAGGTGGTTGTGCTCCATGCAGATTATCAAAAATAAACATATACATGTCTACTATACTGTACTGAAAAACAAAAACAAAAGAGAAGTCTATACTGAACACCAAAAATGTGAGAGTCTTGGTGGAGGGGGAAAGCCCGATTGTGGAGAAGAGTTGCCAGCGCGGTGTGGTAGGTTTGAGAAGCAAGTGGGCCCCTTTGGAGTGATCCCATCGGTTCTTTGCGATGCGTCACGGAGCTGAAGTATCGAACATGCATGCGTGTATTTGAACCCTCCCAATGTGTTTATGTAAACCATCAACAGGGTCCAGGGCCAGCCCTGCAGGGGAAGGGGGGCGGTATGGCACCCCAAGACTGCAGGAGCGCCCAGACCCCAAGACCAGGGAGCCGCAGAGGCCGCAGGACACCACGCAGGACCAAGGACCCGGGGCGGCGAAGGCCGGCACCCCCAGAGAGCCAGAGACACACCCCAGACAGGCGGGGCAGGAGGGCCCGCCCACCCACCGCCCGATGGACATAGGAGACAGGTGGGGGCAAGGCTGATGGCTACAGCACACTGCTGTCCTGCAGCCCGTGCGGCCTTAAGGCCCCTGGAACCTGTTCCCATCTGTCCCCCAAGATGTAGGTGTATGTGGTGCCTTAAAATTGGAGAACAGATAAGGATGGGCTGGGGGGCAGAATGGAGGGCTACAGGACACCACTGTCCCATAGCCTGCCCCATCGTGAAGCCCCCCAATCCATCAGTGGTCTGCACCTCAAAGAGTGAGTGTATGTGGTGCGTTAAAGAGATAAATATGTCAGTCTCAATGAATCCACTCCTCCCAGTCATAATAATAC